ATGATGATGATGATGATGATGAGGGAGGAGGAGGAGGAGGAGGGAGGAGGAGGACGGAGGAGGAGGAGACAGGAGGAGGAGGAGGGAGGAAGGAGGAGGAGGAGGAGGAGGAGGTGGAGGTGGAGGTGGAGGAGGAGGCCACCCCGAGGAGGAGCGGAGGGCGAAGATCAACAGGCTGAAGGCGCAGAAGGCGCAGCAGCGGGAGGCCACGGGCGCCGGCATGCCCGCCGCGTCCGAGGCGCGGCCGGCCTGGGGCGCCAACAAAGGGGGGGGGGGAGGTGGCCCCTGGGGGCGAAGCTCCGATGCAGTCACCGCGGGGGTCGCCTGGGGATCGCTCCTCATCACCCCCCCTCCTCCCTCCACTTCTTCTTCTTCTTCTTGTTATCGTTCTTTCTCTTCCTGCTCCTTCTCCTGCTTCTGCCCCTGGTGGATTCCCAGAGTCCCAGTCCAGTCCGGTCCAGTCATCCTCGTCCTCCCTCTTCTTCTTCTTCCTCCTCTCCTCCTCCTCCTGTCCCTTCCCCTTCTCTCCCACTGCTGCCCCCACGGCTGACGTAGGGGGGTTGGGTGAGCACCTGCGCGCGGCGCCTCGGGGGATGGGTGTGGTCCTGTATGTAGCACGGTGGGGTCCTGTCCGCCCCACGCCAGTGTGCCACATTCTGGCCACCCTTCGTCGTAGACGCTTATGGACGCGTGCCATCTGGCCCCCGTAGTAGGGCTCAGGGGGTGTTTCTGGCTCCCGCCCCTTCTCGCTCTGTGTGCCCCGCGCGGAGGCGAGGGTGTCGGGCGGCGTGTGGCGTCGTTATCAAGATGTGCGCCGGGCCTCGTTTCGCAGGGGTTCGTGAGGGCAGCTTGTGGATGCTGTGTGGACCCATCCCCTGCCGTTTTCTGTTTCCCGTAGAAGGCTTTGTAGAGAGGTGTTGATGACTTCCTCCTGGTAGCGTGCCGCCTTGCAGGTGCGGTGTTGCCCGTCCTCTTGAGACGCGCGGATGGGGAGTGTTGAAGTCGTGCCTCTCGTTTCAAGGCTTGCGCAGGTGGGTTGTAGTAGTGTGCCGCTGGGACGGCTGCGAGTGAGCCCCGTACGCCAGGAGGGGGGCGCGCTAATACGGCGTTGCGGGGCCATGTCGCGCTAGGGGCCGCTGTGCCTAGTGCGGGGTGGTTGCGCTTTGTAGGCGTATACCCTGAATGGCTTTCGGGGCAGGCCAAATTTACCCAAGTGTGTCCTCTTCCTCCTCCCGCTCCTCCCCCTCCCCCTCCCCCTCCCCCTCCCCCTCCTCCTCCACCTCCTCCTCCTCCTCCTCCTCCTCCTCCTCCTCCTCCTCCTCCGCTACGTCCTCCGCCTCCTCCTCCGCCTCCTCCTCCGCCTCGTCCTCCTCCTCTTTCTCCCTCCCCTCCTTCTGGGGGCCAGGAGGCAGCCCGAAACCACTGGGGCATCGACGCCCAATCCCCAATTCATCGCCAATTCCAGTCGTCCAGCTTGACCACATGTATCAGGACGGGCAGCTTTTTCTTTTTCGTTTCCGGCCCCTGGCGGCCGGCTCCGGGCCCTGGGGCCGCCAAGAAATGCTCGGGGTGGGGAGCCAGCCCCGTGGAGGGGGTCAGAATTTCTGGGGCCACGCGCTGATCAAATCAAGACATCGGATCTCTGGGGTGGCCCAGCACCCGGCCACTCCAGTCGAAGTCCTTCGCGCTGCGAGCGTCCTTCAGGAGGAAAAGAAACACACAGACACAATCAGTCGTCGACTCCCAGGAATGTATGGGAAAATATGGGCAGTGGGGGGGAAGACGAAGACCCAGAAGATGTGGGACACTCTGGGGAATCCTCTCACTTGTGTTCATGTACCTGTGCGTCCCAGGGCTCCTTCAAACTCGTGCCTGCCACTGCCTGGCCCCCTGGAGAGCGCGCGTGCGGGCTGCCCCCTGCCGCGCTGCGACGGGGAAGTTCTTGGCGGGCCCCGCGCCCGGCCGCTCCAGGCGAGGCCTTCCGCGCTGCGAGCGCCCTCCCTCCTCCTCCCTGCCTCCGCGGCGGCGCTCCGCCCCTGCCGCTCTCTCTCTCTCTCTCGCTCTCGCTCCCCCTCCTGCCGCTGGACAGCTCGTGCCTGCCACTGCCCGGCTCCCCCTCCTCCTCCTCCTCCTCCTCCTCCTCTTCCTCCTCCTCCTCCTCCTCCTCCTCCTCCTCCTCCTCCTCCTCCTAGAGCGCGCGTGCGGAGTGCCCCCGCCGCGCTGCGACGGGAAAGTTTGAGGTGGCCCGGCGGGGGTCGGGGACAGCCGGCCCCAATCGCCCAGTCCTCGCCGCTCGGGGCCCGTGGGCGCCCCGCCTCCCCAGGGGGCGTGCGGGGCCGGGGGCGCCCCGCGCACTCCCCGAGGGCCTCCCGCGGATCCGTCGACGACGTGCCGCCGACTCCAAGTCAGTGGTCGCCTCCCGTTGGGCCAGCCCCAGACGTCCGACTTCCCGATTGTGTCGGCGCGTGGCCCCTGGGAGTCCCGGCCGGTTCCCCAGGGCCTGGCTCTTCCTCCCGAGTCGTTTTTGACGGTCCTGGGGCCAGGCGAAGGCCTTTGCATGCCGGATGCGGCGAAAAACGTCGGTTTTTATACCATCGTTTCGCTTGCTCCGCTGGCCCATATTGCATCACCGGTGCTATCTCCTGGTGCGCTCGCGGCGAGCGGGAAGGAGGAGGAGGAGGAGGAGGAGGAGGAGGAGGAGGAGGAGGAGGAGGGGGAGGAGGAGGAGGAGGAGGAGGAGGAGGAGGCGGAGGAGGAGGAGGAGGAGGAGGAGGAGGAGGACGAGGAGGAGGACGAGGAGGAGGAGGAGGAGGGGGAGGTCGGTATTAGTTTGTCCACGACGTTGGATGCTGCCTGGACCCCCCCCTCCGCCGCGCCGCCCCCCCTGCCACCAGCCTGCCCAGGAGGCCTGCAGCGCCTCGGCCGCCTCGGAGGATCGGCGCCCGGCCGCGGCCGCAGCCCCAGACCCGAACATCTGGCGTCTCGAAACGATGTTCGGAGGATGATCGACCTCCTACCCTGACACGTCGATTCGCGAATCGGCCGTTCTCGGTTCGCGAGAGGACGTCGCGGCCGTCATTTGTGCGGGTCCGGGTCCGTCGGTGTCGGTCCCAGGCCGTTTTCGTTGAAGGGTTGGTTTACAAAAGGGAGGTTTGTCCACCTCCGAAATGTGATCGTTTTCTTACTCACCACCCACCAAACCACCCCAACCCAACCCGAAGGCCTCGATTTGCCCTCCATTTCCAGTGTGGGGGGGGGGGTCGGGAAACATTGAAAAAAACACATAGCCCCCGCTTTCCGAAATTCGGGTCAAATTCGGGTCTTCGCTTAGGGTTGGGGTGGCCTGTTAGATAGTCACTTCCTGTGGAGGCCCATGCCAAGAAACACCCTGCTTGCCTCCAGGGTGCCCTGGGTTTCATGGGTCTCGATGGTTTTGCCATGGAAAGCGTGACGTTCCCACACCAACAATCAATGGACGTCCTGGGGTCTCAGCGTTGGGTTTCTTGTGGGCGGTTTCTTGCGGACTGGCCTCCACTGTATTCATTGATTTGCCGATCGGCGCGCGCCCTCGTAACCCCCCCCTTCCCCCCCCATGGCGTAGATCCTGGCTGTTTTTGTCGCCCGTTTCGAGCAGGTGGAGTTCCTCCCCCCTAGGCTGCACTGCTTCAAACAGTCGCACTAAGCAGAGGTCCTGAGCCAGCCCCCCCTTCCTCCCGCCCGATGTCGAAACGCCGAATATGAAAACGTTCACAATCGAGACGGAGGTCATCGTTTTCGGCATCTCGCGGTCTCTTCCTTGCCTCGGGACCGTCCACAAACCACGGGGATGAAGAGCTGGCCCCCAGGGAACTGGTCGGGAAGTCGGGGGCCCGTGCCCCGGAGGATGGGGACGCTGGATGTCTGGGGAGGCTCGAGGATCGCGGACGACGTTTTGCGTCTCTGGGAGGGAGGGGGGGGGGCTCCTCGCTGCCACCCAGATGGTCTGGTACCGGAAATTTTCGGTAGCGATTTCGACGCACCCCGAATTTCGGTAGCGACCGGATCTTCGTTTGAGGGCGTTGAAATAGCGGATTTCAGAACGCTCTGATACCGGTATTGGGCGCTACATTTCGGTATTTCGGTAGCGACCGATCTCTGCGGAGCGCTACCGGAAATTTTCGGTAGCGGACCATCGGGGCACGCCTGGGCTCGCCGCGCACCGCTGGCCACAGAGAGCGCCTTCGGGAGAGGCGCGGGCCTCCCGCGCCTCGAGGCTCCAGGTGTCCGGGCACCCTCGCCGGCTCCCCGGGGGATGCCCTGCGGCAGCCGCGCCCCGCTGTCCGAGGAGGAACAGGTAGCCTTACGTCGGGCGTGTCCCCCTGCAGGGGGATTGTCGACGAAACAAAAACCAATACCCCCAAAATAGTTAAAAAGTAGTCCAAAAATAGTCTGGGGAGTTTTTTGGGAGTATTTTTTGACCACTTGTTGATTTTTGTTTGTTTTTAATATTTTTCGTCGAAAATCCGCCTGTAGGGAGACATGCACCCATGTCTCTACCCTTCGCCCGTTTTCCTCTTTTTGTGGGCCTCTTGGGAGGCCCTCGTCGCCACCGCTGGGTTCGCTTCGAGATTCTGGTCAGGACGCACCCCAAGAGAGGTCCGGGGAGTAGTGGTATCGGTACCTTCTGGCTTCCCCACCGCCAGGAACGTTCCAGGGGTGCGCGGGTCCTCCCTAGCGGCCACCCGCAGGCCCCCTCTTTCGCCCCGAGCGTTATATCCAGAGCCCAGGCAGCCAGCCTAAGGCCACGGCGGAGGGCCTTCTCGTCGTTTCTGGTTTCGGGCCCCCGGGACTGTCCAACAGATAGTCAGGATGAAAAACGGCCCTGGGAGAGGATCGGGACTTCTGAGGGTCCCAGATGGAACATATCAAGACATCGTCGCAGACCTAGAGGTTGACACCAACACCAAGGTCGGCGGCGTGCCTCCACCGAGGGAAGAAGATCTCGATCTCGGTGATGGTGGTAATATTCTGGCTGCCAAGGTGACCGAAATATTTCCACCAGCACCGGAATCTAGGATCATCTCCCCCCTCTGGATGCGACCCCTTGTGTTGATGCTGGTGCGACTTTCCAGGCCTCCAACATCGGGCGCTTGGGTCGGGGGGCGGTCTCCTGGGCCACTGGACTCTTGGGTCTGGTCAAGGTGCTCCTGGCCTGAGTCCTCAGCGTCTAAAGTCACTGCAGAGCCGCAGAGGCCTGGCATCTCCAGCGTCAGGAGGCCCAGCCCCTTGGGCGGCGGGGGCCTCCTCTGGGAGGTGGATGCGCCGCCAAGGCACTGGCGACTCTGCTGTACCGTAGAGCGCCCAGGAGAAGCAGGCACTGTAGAGCGCTGGCCAAGGGCTGTCGCCGCTGCTGGGGAGAAACTTGGGGTGGGGCGGGGGAGCTGGGGGAAAGGAGGGGCGAGTCGGAGGATGGAGGCTTCTCGCCGACAAGGCGGGATCCGCCTCGAGAGGCGTCCGGACAGGCCCCGGGAGGGGTCCAGGCCGACTTTGAGCGGATTTGGGCCATGCGGAAGTGCCGCCGTTGTGTGTGTGTGTGTGTGTGTAGGGGAGGTGGGCCGGAGGAGGAGGAGAAGGAGGAGGAGGAGGATGATGAGGAGGAGGAGCGAGGAGCGAGGAGCGAGGAGCGAGGAGCGAGGAGCGAGGAGCGAGGAGCGAGAGGGAGGAGGAGGAGGAGGAGGAGGTGGTGGAGCGATGAGGAGAGGGGAAGGAGGGGGAGGAGGAGGAGGAGGAGGAGAAGAAGGAGGAGGAGGAGGAGGAGAAAGAAGGAGGAGGAGCGAGACGAGCGAGCGAGGAGCGAGGAGGAAGGAAGAGAAAAGGGGAGGAGGAGGCGGAGGGAAGGAGGAGGGAGGAGGGGGAGGAGGGGGAGAAGGAGAGAAGGAGGAGGAGGAGGAGGAGGAGGAGGAGGAGGAGGGGAGGAGGAGGAGGAGGAGAAGGAGGAGAGGAGGACGGGAGGAGGAGGAGCAGGAGGAGGAGGAGGATTTTTTTTTTTTTTTTTTCCGGAGGAGGAGGAGGAGTAGGAGGAGGAGGTAGGAGGAGGTAGGAGGAGGAGCGAGGAGCAGGAGCAGGAGCAGACGGGAGGAGCGATGGAGGAGGAGCGAGGAGGAGGAGGAGGAGCGAGGAGGAGCGAGGAGGAGGAGGAGGAGGAGCGAGCAGGGGAGGAGGAGGAGGGAGGAGAAGGGAGAAGGAGGAAGAGGAGGAGGAGGAGGAGGAGGAGGAGAAGGAGAGGGAGGAGGGGGAGAGGGAGGAGGAGCGGGAGCAGGAGGAGGAGGAGGAGGAGGAGGAGGAGGAGGAGGAGGAGGAGGAGGAGGGGGAGGGGGAGGGGGAAGAGGAGGAGGAGCGATGATGATGCTGCTGCTGATGATGATGCTGATGCTTATGCTGCGATTATGCTAATGGTGATGCTGTTGTTGATGATGATGCTGATGCTGATGCTGATGATGATGACGATGATACTGATGATACTGATGATGATGATGCTGATGATGATGCTGATGATGATGATGATGATGATGACGATGATGATGTTGACGGTGATAATGACGGTGATGATGATGGTGATGATAATGAGGATGAGGATGACGAGGGTGATGATGATGCTGATGATCATGCTGATGCTGATGCTGATGCTGCTGCTGATGCTGCTGCTGATGATGGTGATGATGGTTATGATGATGATGCTGCTGATGATGATGATGATGATTATGATGATGATGATGATGATGATGATGATGATGATGATGATGATGATGGTGATGGTTGTGGTGGTGATGGTGGTGATGATGATGATGATGATGGCGATGATGATGCTGCTGATGATGATGAGGAAAAATTCCCCCCGCAGCAGAGGGGATTTTTGATGATGTTGGTGGGTGGTGGTGGTGGTGATGGTGGTGATGATGATGATGACGGATGATGATGAGGGATGAGGAGGGAGGGTGATGGTGGTGGTGGTGATTTTGATGATGATGATGATGATGATGATTGATGATGATGATGATGATGATGATGATGATGATGATGATGATGAGGAGGAGGAGGAGGAGGAGGAGGAGGAGGAGGAGGAGGAAGCCGCCATCTGCGGGGACGCCCCTCCGCGCCCGGGGAGTGGGCCCGCCGGCCCCGGGGCCGCAGCGTCGGCGAGCGCGGCGCCCGGCCGCGCGCCATGCCCCCTGGGTTGAGGCGCCCGCGGCCAGCCACGCCACCGCCCACAGGAGCTATGAGAAGACCCGCTACAAGCCGAGACGTACCCGTGATCGGCATGAGTCGGGGGCGGCAAAGAGGGGGGTGATGACTAGGGAGGTGTGGATATCATGGCGGGGGCCATGATATTTCCCCAGATTTCATGGCGCCTCTTCTTGTTTCATTACGTCCCTGGTCCCCCCGCTGGGCCGTGCACATGCCGCCGGTCATGATTTGCACCCCCCGCCTCTTGGACACCCCCCTCTTGGCCGCTCTGGACCCGTGATCGGCATGAGCATCGGCGCTGTCGAAGAACTCCCTGCCGTACGGCACCTGGAAGATCTTGCTCTCCTGGGTGGGCGCCGCTTCCTCATGCTTGGCAACGCCTTCAGCGTGGGCCAAGGCTTGGGCAGCGCGTCTGGCTTTGAGCGCCTCCGCGACCTCCATGGCTGCCTTGACCTCCTTGGTCTCCGCCAGCTCGAGCTGCTGGCGCAACTTCAGTACATTGGTCAGCGTCCTTCCAGACGCGTCTGCCGTGGCAAGGCCTCCAGTGGTGTAGTGGCCTTGGCTGAGGCAGCCTCCGCTTCCAGCCTCGCCATCTCCTGCTTCAAACTGGCCTGGGGCACAGGGTCGGCGGTGGACTCCAGGGCCTGCCTCAGCAAATCGGCTGTGGCAGAGGGCTTCTCCTCGCCTCGGCGCTTTCCCCTGCCTGCACCGCGGGCTGGGCCGGGGGAGCGCAAGATGCCGCGCGGGTGGTCCAAGGGCTCCTTATCCTTGTCATCCTCGAAGTGGACAGGCCGCCGACTGGATGTGGAGCGCTTCGTGAATAAGATGACCTTCTGGCCGCACCCTTGGCATGTCAGATTATGTTTGGTCAAACCGATCATTGGATTCGCAACGTTGGCAAGACTGGCACTTAGACCATGCGCGACGGGGCTGCTGCTTGCTCGTCCCCGCCATGGCTGCGACTGGAATGTTGGAAAGAAAGACTTGTCTCTGCTTTAGGCGAGGCTGAAGCGCAATGGTCTGGTATGGAAGTGCTTCGCCTAGTCCCTCGAGTGTGCCGTGGCGGCACAGAGACTGGAGCTCGTGAGCCAAAATAGCTCGAACTCCAATGTTGCTTGAGATGAGGAGGAGGAGGAGGATGAGGAGGAGGAGGAGGAGGAGGAGGAGGAGGAGGAGGAGGAGGAGGAGGA